TGTGTGCATGTTGGGTGCTTTTGCGTGTGGGGCTATGACCTATTTAGTTCGGGTTTAAATTTGTTTATAAAGTTTTTTTCTTGTATTTAATAATCGTTTGTTCGATATATCGGCATGATATTAAATTTACCCTGGTTACATTTGAAGATGTGTTGTGATACAAAGAGTTTTCTGTTGTCTGGCAATTTTATATTGCTTTTGTGTAGGGAGACCCTGTTGTTCAGTTGTTGGCTGATGCCTATATATGACTTCTTACATTTTGTGCATTTAAGTACATAAATTACAATTTTGGAGTTGCAGTTTAAGTTTTTATTTATTATGAATGTTTTTTTGGGGTTTTCAAAAGTGTAGGAGTTTCCTTCTATAATGATGTCACAAACCCCACATCTTTTTTTGTTGCATTTTGTGACTCCCTCTATTGTGTGTTGGTTAAATTTAGATGAGGTTAATATGTGTTTTAGGTTTTTAGATTAGCGTTTGCTTTTAATTATTTTGGTTGTTTTTAGTATATTATTCAGTTTATTATTCTTGCTAAATAGGTCTAGATTTTTTGTAATTTCTGTGAATATTTCTGGATTGTTTTTGCTGTATGTTGAGACATATGCTAGAGTTTGTTCGACGTTACGTTTCTTTATTTCTAAGTTGGTCTAGAGGAATAAGGAAAAAATTAATTATTTTTAATAATATGTGCAAATCTCCTCTTTTATCTGAAGACAGTCACGAGACCAGAAACACGTGTAGTAAAATTATGGAAAATAAAGCATAATATTTTTTTTCTAAAAGAAACCACACTACAACCAAAAACGTTTGCGGCACCTCTCTTCTCTTCAATATAAATATATATTCTCTCAGATGGAGTATATCTATAAAAGATTCAAAATGACTGAAACGACAAGAGGAAAACTAAATTTAGCCAACGAAATGTGTTGGCTAAACTCAGTAGACTTTTCCTCGTCTTTTCATTCATACACACACTGCAAATAAGCAACAGGATAAAATCTAACTTCAAAGTTACCTCAATCCAGTAATTAACTGTTGTCTTTAGTTTTTTTTTTTTTTATTCAACAATAGATTTGGATATGTAGTTGATTTTCTCAATTTGTAGATAATGTTATGCCTAAATTTGTTCCACATTTTTCTTTTTTTTAACTATTTTCTTGATTAAAAACGAAAAGGTCTGCATTTTTTTTTTTTTTTAAGATTTTGATAATATAAATTTGTTATCTACAGGTAATAGAAAGGTAATAATTCAAGATGGAGGTATTTTTCACTGTACATATCTTGGTATCTAGAAGTTTTTTTTTTAATTTTGTGGCTGAGAATATAAAATGTGCATTACAATGACAATATTTTACTTTTGTCTTTTTGGTGATTGTTGCTATCATTTTTTTTATGACCTTGAATTTCTATAACTTTGTAAATAAATAATGTAAGTAAATTGAAAAAGATTTTTAAAAATAAGTTATTTTAATGATTTACATCCGCATTCATTGGAAAGAGAGAAAGAGAAAATAAGTGGTTACAAGTGTGCAAGTTAGATTAGTAGACCCACTGACAATTTATCTTTTACCACCTCAGCCATGTAATCTCCTGTCAGTTTAAAATCACAGGTTTACTGTACATAAAACAGTGTGTAATAAAAATCCTGTGAGTGTCAAATTAAATAAATATTATATAGCAATACTTTCGTAATAATTGTCGATTTTTATTAAAATGATAATTTTTAGTGGTAACAGGTCTGGTAACCAGAACCTTATCATTTAAGAGAACGAATTTTTTTAGACAAATTCTTAACATTGTGACAATTTAATTTTGTTTAAAGTCTTTTTACGCCGTGTTACTGTGTCAAATTATAAAACTTCATAAAAAAAAAAAAAAAAAAAAAAAAAATAGTAGTCAAATATTGCTGTACTCTCAGAAATATTTCTTTAGTAACGAAACAATTTAAACTAGTAATTTATACTTAGGACTAAGTGACAGCACTACAATTATGCCGAAATCAAGGTCCCTAAAGAAAGAAAAGAAAAAAAAAAAGGAGATAATATTGTTGACATTAATAATTTATTTTCCCCAGGATCTCATTCAGGAGTAGGGGAGTTTTTTCACTGACAAAAAAAAAAAAAATCTTGTAAAAAAAAAAAATCTGAAAAATTAAAATATTTTAAGGATTTTGCTGTTTTTTTTTTTTAAATTATAAGTACATATTTGTTTGAAAATGACTCAAAAATAAAGTAAATTTTTTAACACATTCTGTTGGAGAGTTGTTTTGAACAAGAGTTTAGAGAAAAAAAAAAAAAAGTAACCGTTTCTCTAACCTAGAAAATAAAAAAAGATTATCCATGAGAACTTTGATCCAGTGTTTTTATATTCAATAAATTTGATTTCATTCACAGGGCAATTTTTGCCCATAATTTGCTGGTAAATTTAATGCCTAAAAATATTTGTTACACATATTTTCTGCTATTATGTGCGCAAGAAAGAAGTTTTTGTTTTCATATGCCAAGCCAAGGCGCTCTTTCGAAAGCTAATTAAAATTTATTTTTAATCCTCGTATCATCTCGGAAAATAATATTGTGGAATAAGAAAAATGCTCTGTATAACTTGAATGATGTGATAAAAAAGTAAAATTCTTGTCTTAACATCGTAAAATTCACAAGTTGACACATTTTTTTTGAATGAACAATTCCATCACCACTGGCATAAGTGATGTAACAGAGAAGGCACATGCAGTAAATTTGGAAAGTGTGTGTGTGTGTGGGGGGGGGGAGAGAAAATAAAAGATGATTATTACAATACAATTTCTACCCCTGTTAGCTACTACATTAATTGACCCTTGCCTTATCAATATTCAATAACTATTTTCTTTAAGTTTCAGTTTTTTTGGCACGAATTGTTTGTTTTTTGAAAGATTTCCTTTTCAACTGTTGCAAGAAAATACAAGAGACCAATTGGTTTTAAATTTGAAAATTACAAGACATTTTTAAAATTTATATTTTAACGTCTTGCACTAGTGCACAATAGATAGACGTTATAATTTTTTTATGGATGCCTTATTAATTCTTAAAAGTTACTTACGTAGCTAAAAGAATGCATTTTTTTTTTTTTTTTTAATAAAATCTGGGTTTGTCTTATGAGTGAAACCATGAGAAATGAGATGGCACAAAAAAACAAGTAAAAAGTGTTACTAACAAACACAAAGTAAAAGGAAACCTGAGAGTTACAGACATTTCAAACTGGTTTAGTGAAACTCAACAAATGGGTGGAGACCTAGATCATAAAAAAATCTAATTCTAATATATCAATGTTTTCAATGACTAAACAAAGACTAACTTGTTACTAAACACTACTACTGGTAATGAAATTACGATAGGGTGGGATATCACTTGTTTATAGTTTACGTTTCCAAGGATGAAGGAGGAAGCTCTTAAAAAGCAACAAAATTTATGAAGGAAAGTTAAAGATCTGAAAGAAAAAGGTACTTAATTTTCAAATAAAGAAAAAAAATATTAAAAAGAAAAAAAAAGTGAATGTATCAGCAAAAAGAGAAAAGTCCATGATGCCGATGATAAAAAATTCGTTTTTTTTTTTTTTTTAATAAAAATCAGTAATAGGTAAAAAAAGGTCATAGTCCAAAAAATTGTGATTGATACACGGCACAAGTCAGATAAGACAAAAAATTATTTTTCCTTTAAGAAAGGAAAAATTCATTAATTTCTTATTGGTACCATCGAAGATTGGTGAGTAAAAAAAAGAACAAAAAAGTAAAAATGACAATGCCATTTAAAAAGAAAGTTTTTTGGGGGTTTTTTTGTCTTTTATCGCGTCCTAATTTCTTAATTATTAAAAAAAAATAAATAAATATAAAATAAGGCAGTGTATTCAATATAACTTATATACTTTAAGTTTTGAATAAAGTTTGCAATAATTAAATCAGGGTTTAAATTAAATTGAACTATACACGCCCACCCCACAGCTAAACGAACCATCTCAGCTGTTAGCAAAAAAATGTCAAATTTGTCTTGAAATAGAAACCGTGAGAATACAAAAAAAAAAAAAAAAATAGGAAGTCACATGCATTAAAATGTAACTGTCATTCAAATGTTAAATTTTTTTTATGTTACTTAAATTTTTGTATACATATTTATTTACATGCAAAGATTTTTAAAAAAAAAAGTATAATTAAAAAAAAATGAATGAAAAATGTTAAAATTCAAAAAATAAATAAAAAAGAAAATAGCAAAGAAAAGGACTTGTCAGGTGGAGATCTGAAACAGTCAACACCTGTGCTGTAATGCTTGCTTGCAAAATTTTGTTATGACTTTAAGTAATTAATCACCGAAATAAACATAGCACGTGTATTAAAAACCATAAAATGAAGCATATTATTTTTTTTTCTGCCAAACAGCGGTCATCTTACAACTGGCGGTACATTCTGTCAGTATTCAAAACACACCCATCAGAAGTTCTTAATTTTAAGTATCAGCTTTTTGGAGAGAAACACAACCTCCACTAAAGAAAAAAAAATGCACCTAGGCCAGGGTTTATCAGTCTGTCACACACTATGCACAAGTGACCAACACATAAAAAAAAATCAGAATTGAATTAACAAAAATAAATAAAAAGATTTATTTAACTATCAAATTCTGTTGTGACTGACAGTGACATCAGAGCCCAACTGTAAAAGGGATCACGTATCAATCATCAACAGCAGAGATCTTTACTAGTGTTCCACGATATACGGAAATGTCCAACCTTTAAAAACTGACCAAAGAGCAATAGCGACAACTTTGTTCTTGACTTTAGTTTAGATATATATATTTTCTTACTTTTCTTTAGCAGAAAGAAAAAAAAAAAAGAGATAACATCTTCATCTTAGAACTGAGAACGTCACCATAAAATCAAAAATCTATATGAGCAAGTTCTTTAGTTCTCGCCAGTCTTACACTAAGAAATACTTCGTGCCGATAAACAAAAATTGGTGAAATTATTAGAAAACTTACCACACATCCTTTCCCGAGACAATTAAAAAGCTGTTCATTTTCTTGTACATCTAACAAAGTGCAACCAACGTTGACCAGTTTAGTCGACTGGTTATTAACGCGACTCTGATTTCTATTATTGGGTAACGTCATACTGTCAATGCCCGAATTATTTCGCACTCTCTTTTTGTTTTAACTTATTTTGCGGGGTTGACTTCTTATGTCGCCATTTCGTTGACAACTTGCCAGCGACTGACACTATTCACCTCCCAACCCGTCAGCAGAAGCAGCCGAACCGAATTACCGACATCCGGCGAATCACAGCCTCAGAATCTGGGTTAGGGAAAAAAAAAAAAAAAAAAAGGTCGAAATTTTGTTGGAAGAAAAATTAATTTGGGGAAAAAAGAAAAAAATTATTCAAAATTTAAAATATGCAAATCGCAAAATCTGATCAAAGTAACATAATTTTACCAAGTAAAATACATTTTAATTTATCATGATTACATCCTTGATAAATATTTAATTTTGCTTTTTTGTAGGCTGAAAAAATTGAATATTTAAAAAATGTAAAATTACAAGAGATTTTTTTGCTCGCTTGTCTACAGCTCATTTTATGATTATGTAGCAACTTGAAATTGCATTGCAAAGTGTTGAATATGTTTTGTTTTTTTTTTATCAATGGCACTGCTGTAAATTACTTTCTTTGCCTATATAAGCCAACTCAGCAGCTGCAAAAATACTTATTTCATTTTTTTAATAATATCTATTCGCAATTATAATGCAGGGTAAAAATATATTAATATATACGGATAAAAAATAAAGAAATGTAACAGATTTTATCTGTTATGAGCAAGAAGAAAAAATACTTTTTTTAAATTAAAAAATATATATACATATATAAGCTTGCAATGAAAATTGTCTGGAAAATATTACTCCGCCAGCAAGCGGAAGCTAATCGAATTGCTTGAAGAGTTATCTCCCCATGCTGGAATGTTCAGTTCACACTTTCTTTTCCACGGCTCGTAAAAACTTTGATATGTATCATCCTTGATACTGTCTCACATCTGGGTTTCCTTCTGAAGATGAACTTTGCTAAATCACAAGCGTTATCATCATCATCATCATCATGTTATACAGGAATGATTACGACTATAAATATTTTATTAAGCATGGAAAAGCTTGTTTTGTTCTCATAATTTTTTTTAAAATATATATTTTTTTTTCATCTTTGTTTTTTGTCATATCAATTTCATAATTATTTTCCTTTACTTTTAGTTTTAATTTATAGAAATTAATTATTACAATTTTCGTGTCATTTTTTAATTTGAAAAAGTTTACAAAAAACAGCCAATGTTGCAAAAAAAAAAAAAAAGCATATAAGTTCATAAAAAATAATAACGCAATGTTATTCATTCATTCATTGTTATTAGTTTTTGTTCTTTCCAAACTACACAAAAGAATTTTTTTAAAGTTTAAAAAAAAATACACGTAGCAAAGTATTCAAATTTAAATTCTTTAAAAGATGGGTTATTTATTTAATTAGAAAGGCAATATGATTTTTAGTTGTTCAAAAGAGGATGTATTGTAAATAAACATTGATACAGGAAAATTCACCTACATGGAATTTTTTATCCATACCTAGAGATATTTTATATTGTTCTGATATTCAGATGAGAAACCTAACTAATCCAGAAAGCTTTTGTGGCTTAAGGTATCATCTGTGAAAGACAAACTTCCAAGTTATAAGATGTGAGATCCTGTTTAAAAATTTATTTGGGTATTCCAGATTCCTACAATTGAATGTAATGCAAATTAAAATAATATGGAGATGAGCTGAAAACATGGAAATTCTATAATCTCATGCCTCAGCCTTTCTCTAACTCTTTGCCTGTATCTTCCTATTCTCTCCCTTAAAAGAATTTTTTGCCTGGGAGGGAATGTGAGAAAAGAAAATGTCACCTTTCTTATCTTGAACATTAACAAAGGTGCAACAAATAAGACTCGTAACTACTGCATAAAATTTAAAAGAAAACATTTATTACAATACATTGATACAATACAACAAAATACAATATTATACAAGATGGTCTGGCACAAAAATTAACTTTTGTGTGTTTTATTTAAAAACATAAAGCAAGATAACATATAAAAAAAATATACAAGTGATTTTAAAAGATTTCAAAACAATCTTTAAAAAATAAACCTTGAGAAGGTAATGTAAAATTAGAAAAAGGGAGATCTTTTATTTTTACCATTCTGTATTATTCACTACTTTCCTTTCCACTGCATTGTTTTTCAAGGTTCCTCTACCTCACTACTTAATTTCAGTCTTGGTCATTTTCTCTTGCCGTAGCTGGAGGTGACAACACAACTACAAAATTTAAACACTATTATTCATTCATCTGCAGTGGCAGGATAAAATTTTTGCTTTGCAAGCAAAATCACCTCCAGTATGTTAAATGTTAAAAAGAAAGGTGCACTAACCTAACAAAAAAAAAAAAAATCACATAATAAAGGAATCTTTGCCAATTTCCATCCACCAGTGTCACGGGGACTTTTATAATAATTTCATGGTTCTATGAATAGGTTTCAGTTTCTTTTTATGTAAGCTTCTTAGCTGGCAGCCAAAAATTGCTTTCCCTTATGCGTCCTTATTCTTCTTCAGGCTGAAATTTTTGTATCACTTTGTCTTCTGCCTTGGTTGAAACATTCAGTTCTGAATTTGATCTTCTTTGGAAATCTGATTCCTTTTGAGTTTTGGATTTTACATATTGTCCAGTTCACACTTCACCCCACTCTTTTGAACAGGAGTAGGCATTTATTCTGTGTTTCCAGTTTAGGATTGGGTTTCCTAGTCTACTTCAACTCTATAATTCTAATGTCTCTGCCTATAACCCTGAACATTTATTTATATTTTTTCCTCAATTGGTGTAGATAGGTTTGTTTATCGTCCAGTTCACACTCCTCCCTGGTCTTTTGAACACGAGTAGAGGTTGATGCCTTCTTTCCTGTTTAGGATTGGGTTTTCAGTTCCCTCTAAAGTCTATTCCTTCCCTTTCACTTCTGGTGATTCCTTGCATCTTGGTGGTATTATCACCGTTCTTGGGGTGGTACCTCTTACTCTGTAACCATCTCCCTCAAGTGACTCGTGGGCTTTGTACAGAGCGAATATCATTGTTAAAAAAAAAATGAAAATAACTTACTCATTGAATTTTGAATATGTTCTGAAGCTTATCTGCTGGCTCTTCTCTTTTTATAACTTTTGAAGGGGCCCCAGACAGTCCTTAATTTCAAATTCAATTTTAATTTAAAAAATGAAATTGAAACAAACAGCAAATTCTAAAAATAGAAAATTTTACAAATGTATCAATTTTTTATAAACCGTCTGGCATTCTTTAAAATACACTTTTCTAAAAAGTATGTGTATAAAACAAGCCTAGATAATTATATTTATTCATTTGCTTATTTATACTTTTTAATTATTTATTACTTTTAATTATTTTGTATTATTAATAAAAGATTTTATACCTTTATCCCATCCATTCTTCATTGCCCATTCGTATTTTTATCTAATGTTATACAAACATGGATTAATTACATCTTTTATGAATTCATATAAAGTTAAAATCTGTCAATGTGTCCCTTCTTACATCAGCAGAGTAAAACAGTCTGCATTAATATGTAATGAATTTTTTCCAGCCTTTTATAAATATTACAATAAACTAATAGTGTTTAACCATAAGCAGTAATATTTAATTTGTATAGCAATTTTAAAAGCATATTTTAATAATCATTTCTAAATTATTTAATTCAAATTTTTAAAACTGCCATATATAAGTTATGTTTCTGCTGATACAGTTTTATTTTTAAATTCTTGTGTTTGTATAGAAAGAATTTATATCTGCATTGGCAAAATTCACTCAGAAGTTAGAAAACCTGCAGCATTCATAATAAGCATTGTTGTCATCTGCTATTTCACATGTCTACAAATTTGTCAAATATAACCAAATTGATTGATTGATTCATTCATTCATTTTCTATGGCTTATCAACCCTTTGCAGGTTATTTAAAGCTAGAAAAAATTTTTAGATTGTAAGAATTATTTTTCTGGAGATAATAATGGTTTAGTGATTCAAATCTTACTACTTAACCCATAGGAGAAGGCAAGATGAAATAATGGTTAGCAGTTCAGATTGAGGAATTCCAGTCAAGTTCATTATATTCACTTATGTGCTAATACCCCTGGGAAAGGTACAAATCCCTCTCTTTTCCCTCCAGCTATGGAGAAAATAGCAGAACAGACTGAGTCCTATAGCCTTGGGTGGCAACCAATCTAGGAGAAGGAAACTCTGAATTAATACCAGATTGTATTATACTAAAGTATATATGCAGCTGGGGACCACTTGTAAATCCAAATTTCCACTGAAACTCCTATTTATTTGCATGTCCAAATGAATATGAACTCTGCTATACTTGGCCAGTTTTTGTACAGAGGTCTTTCCCCAGGGCATTTGCATGTAAGTGAATATAAACTAGATAAAATAGTTAAAAGATAATTTAGTTAATCTCAATATCAGCAATATTATTATGAGTTAAATAGCAAAACAGACTGGGCTCTCTAGCCTTGGATGGCAGCCGATCTAGGAGAAGGAAAAATGAAAACTTGAGGTGTGCTGTTTGTAGACTTTGTACACTGTGCACTATTTCTCTATTATCATTTCCAAAAGTATACATAAAGCCATATCATGTTGAAACATGGGTTCCTGTATGATCACTGAAGTTAAGCAATGTCAAGCCTGTTTAGTAACTAGATGGGTGACTGCTTGGCAGTACCAGGTTCTGTAAGCTTTGAATGGTGTAATGGACAATGGCTTGGAATTGTTAATCAGCAAAGGTTTGATAAGCTGTAGAAAATCAATCAAATCAAAAAAGTTTGGCTGTTTTTGCACAAAACTTCACCACTATAATAAATCATCTGTATGGGTAGTCTATTAGTTCAGTTCTAAACTGAACTTTTGAGCTCTTATATGTCAAAAATCGACAGGAGAGTTGACAATACATACTGAGTGAAACAGCAAAATTGTCTAAGTCATGTAACAGCAAAATTGTCCAATTGTTAGATTAAGTTTTGAACTGTTGTATCTTAGAAATGA